CCCCAAAACCCCAAAACCCCAAAACCCCATCAATACAAATTATGAGCAAGGCGAGCATTAGACAATTAATGCACTGATTTAATTTCTAATAAAGCATTAGTTTTTAAGCATATATCGAGTAAAAATCAATTTTAATATATTAAACATTACATAACAATTATTGAGTCATGGCTAACTCAAATCACTCTAGCTCAATAGATGAAACAATAAATTCGCACTCCGATGATGAGCATAATAAAACATTAAATTGTGAGGATTATATATTGGAAAAAGGTCTTAATATTCTTATTGACAAACTTGGCTAATAATACAAGAAATAAAAATTTTCATTAAAATTTGAAGATCAGGAAATTGAAGAAGAATATTCTAAAATAATGCATTAGCGAATAAATTAACTTGGCTTCATTTGTATGGGTCAGGTTTGGCTTGCTTCTATTCTCTATTTATCGTACCATATATATGTAGAGGTAAATGATGGTTATAATCCAGAGTTTTAAGGAATTTGGATTACAACCGTAGTAATGAATGTTACTATTTTAGTTCATCATCTATTAGGGAGAAAGTATAAAGCGATTGCATTGCATTACTCAAATGTTTAAGCTATGGTATTATTTTCATGTGGCTATTAATAAGCTATAAGCTACAACAAGGATTTTTAATTTTTCGACAGATTTCTGATTATTTTAGGATATACAGCTTCTCTAGCATATATTAGTTATTGCTAAAAAACTTTGCTTTTTTCATTCTTGATAACTTATTGTTATTTAATTGCAAGATCTTGGTATTGGGCTAAAGATTTATTCACATTTGGCGTTTCAGTAGGTTTCTTCCTTGCTGCTTTCATATTTATCTATATTCTTGCTAGGATGTTTTAGCATATTGAACGAGACAAATTTTAATAAAAAACAAACTAAAACCAACTGCTGAAAATGTTTCACAATTTGATAAGAAGAAATCATGATGGAATAATTATTACATAAAATGAGGAAATAGTTTTTTTAAATTCGCAAATCTTCCAAATTTTCAATATTGAATAAGCCAAAGATCCTAACCCTGAAAACTGTGACCTTTTGTCTGATTAAACAGAGGAAAAGCTTTTTCTAGTAGAATAATTCAAAAAGACAACTTATGAGATCCAAACATAAAGTGTAGGGTAAGATGAACAATGCTAACAGTTCTAGAATATTTGGGAATATATTTTATATCGGCAGGAAGCAACCAAATATTCAGAATACATATGCTGTGAAGATGACAAAACAGTCAATGGAACATATTTTCAATTTCACTTTATGCCAAAGGATACTATTGATGCATCTGAAGAAGAAAAAACTTCCAAGTAATTGCAGGTATTTTCTTAAATATTCTAAACTGGATCTAAGGGATTGGTAATGACTACAGTCAGAGACATGTCAAGATGGCTAGAACTCGAAAAACAAAAGACAATGTCTAAGATGAAGACAATCGCCTTTGCTTCTGCAGCTCATGAATTTAGAAACCCACTCAATGCTATAACTCAATCTTTGGAACTTATGAATGGTCTAATTGACCTGAGTAGAGGGGCAAAGTATTACAACATTGCTAAAAATTGTTCCAATTTGATGTTATACTTGGTAAATGACATTTTGGATTTTTCTCAGTTAGAATCTAAGAAGTTCTTACTAAACTTGTAAGATGTTTTTATCTAGAACACTTTAGATGAATGTATTAGTGTACTCTCTTTCAAAGCTGAAGAGAAAGGCATCGATCTAAATTATGAAATTGATAGGAGATTACCTCTTTACATCTTAGTAGATCAGAATAGATTAAGATAAATTCTTATAAATTTGCTATCAAATGGCATAAAGTATACCTCATCAGGCTACGTAAAATTATAAGTTAAACTTGATGAGGAAAATAAACTCCTAAAATTTAACGTTATTGATACTGGTGTTGGAATTGAAGTTGAATCACAAAGAAGACTATTCAAGGCTTTTACTAAAATAATGAAAAACAGGGAAATGAACGCATAGGGTTGTGGCTTAGGTCTAAGTATTAGCAAACTTTTGGCGCAAGCTCTTGGAGGAGATATTAGTTTTGAATCTACTTATGGATAAGGATCTGTGTTCACCTTAACATTACCTTTTAGAGTAAGAGATGCAGGATTTAACAACGACCCTGATGATTCCTTCAGAACAGACACCAATAGATCAATTATAGTTAAAGAAACTTCATTCAAAGAATTCGATGTTGGATCAAGGACTTTCCAGGAAGAAACTAAAAGCAATTTAGAGTTGATAAATCACATTAATAGAGATTATGATAATATCAACTTCAATAACTTAATGATGTAATTCCCACAGCATAAAAGATAGCCAACAACCTTAATCTATGATAATATTCCTGGTGCAAAACTTTTCAAGCAATCTACATTAGATAGAGTTGATGAATATTTAAAGCCAACAGGTCATAAACTAATTGATGATGTAAAGACAAGAAATCCCTCCAATGCTACTAATATAGTTCCAAGTGACCATAATTAGATTTATCATACTGGAGAGGATGATGGACAAGACACAGCTTTAATAATGAGTGAGCATGGAAAATCCTGTAATTGTGCTAAAATTCTTATTGTTGATGATGAACCCTTTAACTTGATAGTATTAGAAGGGTTACTAAACCAGTTGGGTATATATTAAATAGAAAAGTGTTTCAATGGTAAAGAAGCTTAAAATAAACTAGTCAAAAATGAATTCCCTAAAGATTTATGCGGGAGGGATCATTCACAATATAAACTAATCATAACTGATAACTAAATGCCAATAATGACAGGAACATAATTAGCAAAGTATGTTAGAGAAGAACAATAGAGGTCTAATATAAATTCAAACTTGAAAGTAGTACTGCTCTCAGGAGATTATAAACCTTTTAAACATAGTAGTGAAAGTATATTATTTGATGGAATTCTTCTTAAGCCCATAAAGCTAATTGAATTGCAACAAGTACTAAGTAATTACTATAAGGAATGAAACTCATTAATGGCAATATATGAATTTAATTAATTTGAAGTCCAGTTACAATCAATAACTATTTATTAAAAATTTGATTGCATATATAGTAACAAATTGGTTCATCAATCATTAAATAACATTATTCTTAAATAAGTTCATATTCATCTCATGGGGTTTTGGGGTTTTGGGGTTTTGGGGTTTTGGGG